TTTACGAACGCCACAACTACAATACGCGTGTTCTCAATACAGCCCCATGCTGTAGATCACCCTAGATTATAACATCAAAAATATTAACAATAATATTATTATGTATTATTGTATGATAATATTATACGTCGACAATAACATAAATCGTTGTTGAGGCTCGGAAGGAAAACACGTTGATATACGTCAAAAACGTATTATTGTGTTCCTACAATGTCACTCTATGAAATTCATAACAGTTGAGTGACGACACATACGGAATTCATTCTCCTCATTCATCCGCCTCAGATACTTTATCGCGAAATACATTGCTAAAGAATACAGTTGCGCGGGACTGTTATACCCACGTATCTTTTTGATCCAAATAAATCGAACGCATGAGGTTTTTATTTTTTTGGAGTTTTTAAACGTTTCTCCACGCCGTTTCTGTTAGGTCGCCCTTTTTCTAGTTACTCTCAAGTCGCGACGTCCCGTTCGAATAATCGTTCATCGTTCGAATTCAAGACTCGTCCAGACGTTTTGTCGAAAATCATTCGTTATTTATAGAAAAAAAATAAACGATGTTTGGCGTTGTACCTGGAGAAACAACTTCAATACTTCACCGACCCGCCATGGCTCGACGACGTTGTCACACCTTCCATTAATAATTTACCTACATCATAGAATAAATAATCAATATACCTAACGGACTGTATTTATATGAAACTTATGACTAGTATCGATTCATAAGCACGTGCACACACGTCACGAAATTCACAAACAGAAATAGAGATAATAACACGGTTTAAAATATCTAATAACAATAATATTGATGTTTTTTTCGTCAATTTCAGTACAATATGTGTTACGACGAATCGTATTGCATTTGATGATTCAGCACGTATTACTTCTCCTTCTTGTAACATCGTCTGACAACAAAATTTAATATTACAAATATATTTAACTAAATAAAAGAATTTGTGTGTGCGTGTGTGTGTGTGTGTGTGTGTATGTGATAACGTCGTATCATTATAACACATTTCCAAGTCGGTACATCTTGCATACCTACCTTCTGCATAGTCATAGAAGCTTGATTAAAACATAAATTTTCTTATAAATGTTCAACAACAATAATAGCTACCGTACAATGCAAATGTTTAAAGTACCATTCTCGTGTATAAAAATTATAACGTAAGTACGTATCAAAACAATTATATTTGAAAAAATAAACAAAATTTGTTTAGTTTTTTTTATTTTGTTTATGTCGATCAATAACAATAATATGAATCAAATTTAAAACAAATAAAAACCATTATTAAAACAAGAAATACTCTTTAAAAAAATATTTTTTTATTATTTTGACTTATTTAAATCAACATTTTAACATAAAATATTTGCTTGGGTAAATAATTATTTCTTTATTACAACCGTATTATATAAATATATAGTATAATTAAATTTTAATTACCCACTTTGAAGAATCTTAATAACCTGCAATGCTTATTATTTTTTGTAAGCTTAGCTGTTGCTATTAACTTGTTAATATTACTTCTTTACTTTATGGATTACGCAATATCTTATAGTAGGAATCTAAAAAATTTAAGTGTTAAATTATTTTACTTCTTGTTTCCATCATAACTGTGACCATACATGCTGTTCATTTTAAATTATTTGTATAGTATACACTATATAATATACAATACTGTTATGTTTTTCAATGTACATGTTGCACAAGACAAACAAAAATTATATATGGTTATGACTATTATATTTTTCAATTTAAACTTTACACTACACTACGAATTAGGGACTTGTCGACTAACTTTATTTCATGATTTGCATACAAGAATAACACTAATATTTATGTAAATCTATAAACTATAACATATTTACATATTTTTTTTTTATCGAGCTTATAAAGAATATTAAACCTTTAAGGTTTAAATGATTGTGGTCACGTCTGTATTGCGTTACAATCTTTAACACGTTCAATGCCATTGTCGACGGGTAGTCGACATCGGCAACATTGCCCGGGTCGCCTTTGTCGACTACCCGTCGACAAATATAGTGTTCACTTTGATAGTTTATAATTTTTACTGGCTACGGGATAACGGTCTGAAATTTATTGTAGGCGATCAGGTTCCTTGTTATGAATCAAACGATACCATTGGTTTTTAATTTTGTTTATTTTTAGTTTGTATATTTATTTTTCCCCGAAATCACAACGTCGTTTATCGCCGATAATAATATTATACACCGTATTATTATAATTCTATCGCAATTTGACATAATAAATGGTATAAATAACATTCCCAACAGTAACATATTCATACAAATTATTTTACGCTGTATACACCGTGTTCCTCAGAATACAGGGTGATTCGAAAAATATAAAACTATTTTTTATTACGCAATGAAAATTATTATTATTTGTTTATTTTTTCTGTGGCTATTCTAGTCGTAAACGAACCATTCGTGCATACACGTCACTCTATAATTATTTATTTAATAATATATGAAATAAATTATTATTTTCAATTAGTTACATACTAGGATAAGTACGTATTATAGCGTCGCGCCGTCGCGTATCGCCCCTGTCGACGCATAGTCGACCGTACGTAGTTTCGGCGCGGCGACAAGGGCACTGCGCCGTAAACACTAGCGGAGCTCAACGTGTTAAAAACAACGCTTGATGCAAATTTAAATAACAATAGACTCGTTAACTGCACTGCCTGGTCTTGTTAGACTTACGTTTCAAATATTTAAATTATGTATGTACTTACGAATTTAATCTTTAAATATTTCTTATTGATTTTTATTATTCAGCAGATTTTGAATGAAAATTAATACCGTTAATTTATTATATTACAAACATTTACGCGCTACTACCAGAATAGTTCACTATGGATATTTTTTATTTTTATCTATTCCCATTCAATTAAATAAAGAGTTATATTTTAGTCAAAATATGAGAAATGACAGATCTGATACAGAATACTACTCTCTCTTCAATCACTTCTTCGAAGACAAAGAACAATGTAAATAAAATCATAAAACTCTTTAAAAATCAATTTCGAACGCAGAACTTATAAAACACAAGTTTGGTCGTTTAATTTTTTTAATTTCTAGTAAATTTTACAGTTCAGAGCAAAATTTTTTGACTTAGGTAACTCAAATTGCTAAATTAATCTAAAAACGACTTTTTTCAATAAAAAAATTTAATTTCCAGGCAACGATTAGGACTCAAAAATATTAGAAAGTGTTGAGTTCGGAAATAAAGATAAAACATTGAAATTTTGCTTGTTTAACTCAAAATCATAAATTCAATAACTTTTATTAGTTCCCATACGTTTTCAATACTAATTAAAATGTAGCTACTAATTAAAAAAAAAAAATTATAAAATGCACACTAAGTAATACCTGATAATTGTACTTGATGACTTGGTGTTAACTGTTAGTAAAATTTAATGTTTCTTTGAATCAAAAATACAATACAAAAGTAGTATATTTGATGAAAAAAAAAAAAAAAAACAGTTTCATAATTAAATTATAATACCGTATATTATTCTCATTATACATACAAGGATAAAATATTGAAATAGTTCATTGTTTAAAAGATTAAAAAAATTAATTTAACCTTGGGAATTATTAATAATTTACATTTTATTTATAGTTTGATCAACAGATTACAATAATTGATAATATTCCATATTTTTCAAACCTATTTATAATTTTATTTTTATCCTGCTAAGCACATTTGTGAAAACTGTAATCAACTTCAAATTTTCAAACGTTAGTCTATAATTTTATTTTCCGTATTTTTAGAATTACGATATTGTGCATAAATCAGATTTAATCGGACCTGTATAGATAATTATTTATAGATTATAATTATTTAAAGGTTTAATAGGTAAACTAGATTAGAATAGTCTAAAAATAGATAATACATTTATACCTCTCTCCGTTAGTCTAAACTTAAATTAATTATATTTAATAAACCGTTATCTAAATCTATATTAGATACATGCAAATCAAAATGTGTAGAAAATCATTCCTTTTGAGAATTTCGAATAAAAGAACATGCAATCTTATTTTTTGTTTGACTACAATCTTATTAATTACAAAAATGTCAAAAGTACAGGTAACTCTATTAAAACCTTAAAAATAAAACAATCATTGCATGTCATTTTATTACAATATATTATTATGCACAGTGTATAATATCAACTTTTATTAGATACGAACAATATTAGTCAAATACTCTTATTAAATCAAGCAAATAAATGAAAACTAGCAAATGTGTATATGGGTTAATGTAACGCATAATACTAGAATAATGGTCATAACTAATATAAAATATCTAAAAAAAATTATTTGACCACTGCCCACTGATCCTATGTCAATATGTTAATACCCAATGAATTTGAACCATCGACTATTGATCGTGTATTGTGAAGCAATAAAAAACACAACCACGACTGTACTATACTTTCCATAAATAATAATGTGGTAATAATGTAAACTTTTTTTTTTTTTTTAAAGAAAAGAAAACGTTAATTGTCAATAAATGAATAAATTAGTGTAGACGATGTACTGAATTCAAACAAGTCCCTAGTCAACTAGGGCTTTATAAATTTATTGTTTGATGCGAATGCTCACTGTGACAACAGACTAAATTAACAACAGGTGCGCATTTATAACACTCAACAGATAGTACAACGGGCAACGATTTATACAATTTGCTAGGAAAACGATCGCTAAAAGCATTATCCGGTCGTGTTTAGCATACAACATCGACTGAATACATATAATACTTAATATCCGATCGTCAATAAATTATTTATATCACGTAAAACATTGGAACGGCCAGAGTAGCAAAAAGTTTTCTCCTTCTTTCCGGTGCTGTAGTCGTTCGTAAAAAATAACCATTCCCACATAAATACTAGTTCCCGGTAAATTTGCAACCACCGTGACTCGAATCGCGTGACCTAGCCCAATTAATTTTTTTCTTTTTATCTGCGCAGGCTTTTTGAAGAACACCAAGAACTTCTCCAACTGTTTACCAAATTTGGCGAACTGAAAACCAGGGACGCACAGGCCAACAGTATGGAGCTAGCCGAACACGCTAACAAAGTAATGACCACACTGGACGAAGGCATTAAAGAACTGGACGACCTCGACAACTTCTTCCAGTATCTGACCCAAGTGGGCGCTTCACACAAGAACATAACAGGCTTCAATCCAGATTATTTTTGGGTAAAAACAGTATTGCACGTTAAGCACTAGAATATTAGATAATATAATATACAAATTTAGATTAAATATATTTACAAGTGACAACACACAATAATTATTCATATTTAATACCTATACCTGATAATGTTTTGATATAATATTATTCTAGTATGATCTCATATTATAGATTTTGTTAATTTGGATAACCTAATCTAATGGCTATATTCTACTATTATTAATAGTTTATTAATTAACTCTGCAAATTCAAGATATTTTATCAATATGAAATTATTATTTTCTATACATTTGTACATCTAATTTTATTTTTATAAAAAAAAGTAATCAAATAAATAAAACTAATGTTACCAATAATAAAAATCGTCATTAGAAAAAAAAACAACAATTTTTTTTTTATTATTATTAATTTATTTCATCACTAATAATGATGGGTCGAAATGTCGAATCCTTATTTTTAAAATCAAACTAAACTTCAATTGAATCAAACTTAAAATATTTTTTCGAACTCGAATCGAGCTAAACTTTAATTTTTTTTACCAAACCTAACCGAATTAAATCTAGAAAATTTTAAGTCAAACTCAAATTCGAACTTAACACTTTTTATTATGTACAAAATAGATCAACTATAATTACAATTTTAAATTATATTTTGAATTTTTGTATTACCTATTCTACGTTTTAGGTATTTTGAAGTTAACATAACTGTATTTACAATAAATGTTGGTTATTTCTTATTTTGTTATTTTACATATTCAATAAATAATAATTGATAGGTAAAAATTTGTTTATTAAAATATGCTTTTATTAAAAATGCACCCATGGTAGCTGAATATTACTACAAGCTTACCAAAAAAAGATTTTTGCAATTACACTAAACACGATAAAAACAAAAACAGTAATAATTATTATTAGGCGTCCTCTATTAATCAATTATTTCTAAATACGTAGTTATTATAATTTTTTTTAAATAACTTTTGAAGAATTGTACAAATCTGCGAACTATCGTAACCAAAAAGTCTGATTCGACAATTATTTTCAAATTCGACTTTCGAACAATACTAATGTAAAATAGTTTGATAGGTCAGTTAGAATTATTTTCATACAGAATTCGAAATTCAAACCAAATCGAACATCAAGGGTTCGGTTACCTATATATTTTATCATGGTAATGAGTAATTGCACTAAAAATATTATGAAACACATAAAATATTTTTAGTAAAATTATTCAACATATTAAAACTTGGAGTATTTTCGATTTTGAATGGAGTGATGGAAGTGCTGATTTAGAAATAATATATGTTTCTTACCATATTTTACCTATAAGGTAAAATCCAATAGTAATCACACACCGTGTGATGTATTAATTTATGATTCAAGTGTTTTTCTAATCGATAATTTGACACGTTTTTCATTTTAAAAATATAAATATATTAATAAATACATTATTATAATAGTTATTATTCATATCATTACTTACATATTATTTTTTTGTTCTTAAAAAAAACTTCATAATAATAACAAATTAAATATTTATTTATTATAATTTTAATATTATAATAAATGTGACTGAATGATATCGGTTTGAAAATCCATATATTTTTTTTATTATTGATATTGTAGTTTCAAATATTAATCTAATAATTTTCAACTAAAAACCAACAAGCTCTATTTAGTTATTAAAAACCCATAATAATCTAGCGTAAATACTATAATTAGCCTAATGAACGTTCCTTTATATTTGTAATTCTTCTATTAATGGGTTTAATATTAAAAACATTTTATTATTTTACTGTTTTACATATTATTCATCAAAATTCATATTTAAAAAACTTAGCAAAAAGGGGCTTATTTTTTTATTTTAAAATTAAATTCACTCTTCAACAACCTCTTACGTAAACCTTTTTATTTAACTTTGAAATTTTGGAAGTTTATTATGCATATTATAATGTGATAATAACAAATAACTTTTGATCGTTTTGTACAAACTATGTTGATGAAATGCTAAATGCTTTCGTGTATTACTTATTTTAATAATTCAAGCGAGAACAAGTAAACAACAAAAATTAACGTTTGTCTAAAAACAAATAAAAATATACACAGTCAAAGTGGTTAATTTCCGTTTACATAAAACTTCAATAACATAAAATCACAAAATAACAGAGTGGTGTGTCAAAAAAAATTTTCACTCAGAAATAAAAATATGTTATGATAATACATTGGCATAGTAATTTTTTCCAAATATCTAAGTGTATCTCACAAACATGTTGATCAAATACACAAAAAAATTATATTGTAAGTAACAATAAAAAAAATTACCTAATTTTATTTTTTTTAATTAAAAAAATATTACTTTATTAAAATATATTATGAATTATTTATAATAAATAATTTTGATTGTATTTAAATATATAATGAGAATAAAAAAATCGGAGGGTACTTAATAGAGCCACCTGACAGATCAAATTAGTAATTCTCTATGGGAAATGCCAGTTTTGGACATCTTTGCAAGGGTTACTAGGGATTATGCTAGGGGATATTCGGTTAATTATAGTGGGTTTTGATGATGCGTTAACTTTAATGAAATGAAAGGTAGTAAAATTTGGTGAATTGAATTAGTGTTGAAATTTTTAAGCCATTGTGGAGATTATTATTCTTGACAAATTAAGGAATATACTAAACGATACGATGAAGTATGATTCCGCAAATTTACGAAATCGTGTAGATTTTAATAGCCCTTGATACACAATTCCGGAAATTTCATTATTTATGATAATTCTGCATATTAATTTTAAATGAAACGTTACCATTCCGAAAACGTGTATAAACAAAATATATGTTGTTATTGTAACATAATATATTACAAATCGTTTTGTGCTTTAAACTATTCTACGCTTTTGAAAACAAAACTTTCGAAAAACATAATCTTAGTTTACATTTTACACATTGTTGGATTCGTTGGATTATCGTATTTTATTTTGTAATTTGAATATATGGTTAATTATTTCCTTACAATGAGATATATTTTAGAATTTTGTAATTTTCATAAATGTAGATGACACAACAGTACAAATCACTAAATAATATTATAATATTCTTATTTGGATTCTGGTCGTTACACATAGTTAACTGGTTAATAATAAAACTTGTAAAGGCAGGAATAATTAAGTTACACTTGAATAATTAACAATAAAACGAATTACAAATCTAAGTAGTAGTATAATTAACTTAAAATATTATTACAATATTACGACGAAAGTACCATATCGTGATGATACAAGATGTTAATATTACAAATTTTAACAATTGATTTAAAATGTACTGTTCGAGTGTTTAAGATGTAAACCGTAAAGTAGAAAACGATATGTAATATATTAATTGTATTACAATGATAATAACAATTTTGTTTTTTACACGTTTTCGGAATAGTAACATTGCATTTAGAATTATGGTAAATCGTATTTATTATATTACCTATATGAAATTTACGGAATCGTAAATTTATATTGTATATAAATGGCCATTAAAATCAACACGATTTCAAAAATTTGCTCCACAGTGACTTATTTTTTTTTTCTCAAGTTGAAAAGCTTGACAGAGCTCTCCATATTTAAATAGCATAATATGACCACGTTGGTCTGATAATGGGGACCTAATTTTATACAAAAATAAACTACACCATAATAAATTGTATCATTAAAATGGATACCTTTAATTCAAAAATATTCAGCACTTGTAAAATTGATGAAAAACTTTTGTCTAACGAACGAACGCAGAGGATTGAATCGAAATCGTGCACCAACAAATCACACAATATATGACCGGAATGGATAATAAATCGATCTAAAATAGGCCACATCTGTCACACCTATTTGCATTTAATGAAATGAGAAAAATTTCCACGCGAGCGAAATGTATACGCCACCACTCACCAACCGTGGATTAATAAATAACTCTTACCGTTAAACAACCCCTACTCGTTTATATTAAACAATTTAAACATCTGTGGCTTGCTTACCGGTAGAGATATCCTCAAAAATAAACATTAGCCTCGTTCACCACTAATCAAAAGATCTTTAGAAATTATTAAAATATATGTTTAGATATCATATTTACGTTAGTAAATAATTTACTACAAAACGACTGTTGTTAGTTATTTAAAATAATAAAATACTTTTTTTATTTTTCAAATATATTTTTAAATATATTTAGAAAAAAGTGTTTGGAAAATAGTCAAAATACGTTTTATCAAAGAAAAAATATCAAAAAATTTCGATTATATTTATATGCTAGTTTGTATAGAAATTATTTTCTTGACCTTTGTTTCGAATGAATTAAAATATATATTTAATTATCGTACAATAACTAAAATATACATGCATAATAACTCCAGTTATAAATAGCTTTTAATAGACAAGCACCTATTTGAATAAAATGTTTTCTTATATTATATTAATAAATTTATAATATATAATATATGCGCATTTACATACTTATTGAAAAAATGATTTAAGTTATAAACGCTTCTTTGAAATACATTTCAGATGTATGATAAATAAGTACATACACACATCTAACTACAGTATAGATAGTATAATAATTTGAATAATTAAAAGCAATATTATACCTACTTATAATAGAAACACAAATTGTACAAAAGTTTACGTTTCGATAATTGTAATCTTCGACATGTCTTTGAATAATATAAAAACATAAAATTCAATACTTAATAATAATACATTATTCGTTTATATGAATCGCTAAATCATAAATTATTATTATTCGGATATCGATATACCATAATATATTTTGTATAGAAGTTTTGAAAACTCGTTACAAATTACATTATTCCGTTATTTTATTGTTTTCTTTCTGTTATATATTTTAAATTATCGTCTTTATAACGAGCCATTGAATAATTTGTGACTTCCATTTAAGTACGACAATGTTTTTTAAAATTAAATTTACATTTTGCATTATTTTGTTTCTGAAAAAAATGTGCTAAT